TTTGCTCTTCTGTTTCTCTCAATTGTATTGTTCATAATTTTTTTTTTCTTCATTTAATTTGTACTTTTTTTCCGCTTATATTCTTGAAACTATTTAAATATTTAGAGTATAAAATGTATTGTGGTATGGTTTTTCAAATGAAAAAAAAAAAACTGATTGTAAATGGGAAGCAACAAACAAACATTGAAGTATCGCTGCAGTATTGTCAACGTCACATACTACAGATAGATGTATTTGGCTCTAAGCACTGTGACGACTGTGCTCACTCAATGTATCAACCATTTAGACTGTTGTGATAGGTGCAACACTTTAAAGATAATTATTTTTACAGTCAAATAACACTGATAACACAGAGCCCAATATTGACGGTCAAACTGTAGAAAGTTTGAGAATTATTAAGAAAATAAAAAGATGAGTGCAGAAAAAATCAAAAAATATAGGCAATTAAATGCGGTAGTTCGTCATTGTTGTTGATCATTGCTTTCAACTTCAGCGGTAATTTTTTCTTGTTTTTTTTTGTTTTCTTTTTTAGTGGAACGACTTTACTGTAGAGAGGAAATTTTTTTTTTTTTTTACCAAATGTATAGTTCTATAAGAAATCACTGAAAATTAAATGTGGTTGAAAAAAAAAAAAGCTTTTTGTTCTTGCAATAAATATTATTAAACATTTCAAACCTACAATTGTTGTTGATGTTCAGAATAATTATTCCTTCAAATTTGAACACTGAAACAGTGCTGATTGTTGCTGATTTCACAGCAACTGAAACTGTTCACTTCACTTAAATGCTAGGCAGAATAAATTTCTGACTTCATATACTATATTTTTTCAAACCTATTTGTAAACAATTTTGTGACTGTTAAAGAAAAGGAATGATTAAGCATCCTCCAACTGTGCATAAACAACTGCTGTGAATTCTGTGCAAAATTCCGTCAAATGTCAACAAATCAACAAATTAGTTCCTTTACTTATTTACTTTTCGGTTTCATGAAAAACCTATTTCTTCAATTATACAGCCTCAAAGGATAAGTGGAGACCTATTGTTCCAAATTTGATCAATCAAAAGCGGGTGTTGAACGGTCACTGCAACTGATTACTACCGTTAGTTTTTAATTAAGTGGCACTATAAAAAAACTTTAAGAAGTGCCCTCGATGTTGAAACCGATTTGACCACGTCATTTGAGCAATGAATAATTCAATCAGCTTTTACAGCCAGTAAGATTCGCTTCACCAGTAATCATCCCAATAATTATGTTCAATTAAAATGTTTAAAAAAAAACACACCTTTACGGCAATTAATATAATGATTTATTAAACTATCTGTTGCACTTACAAATATTGGAATTGTCGGTTAGTGCCAAGACAAAACATTAACAACATGCGCAATTTGTTTCACAAATATAGCTTAATCATTTTTTCACAAAGGACCTCACTGATAATAACCAATTAATATTTACTACTAATAAATCTAACAACGTTACGACCGCGAAATCAATTTTTTCGGTTGGAGTTAATGTCCTTTTAAAATTAAAAGTAAAAAAACACTATTTACTGAAATTAAAGTGTACCTTAAGGCAGGTCGATGAATAACTATCACCCGCAAAACAAGCGCTCCAAAGTAGGAATGAAGTACAAATGAAGATTCTAGGAGACACAGAAAACTAAGGAGTAGGATGCATTACAGTTAAAATAGGACTCAGTCGAAACGCAAAACAGTTCTGAAAGCTCAAGAACAAACCAAAAAAGAAACTATTAAGAAAAGTGCAATAAAAAAGTTAGTTAAATCAGAACTTTAACAGATCCAGATGTTGATTAAAAACAAAGTTATAAAAGACACCTTTGAAGCTGATAGGAATAATCACAGCCATTCGTAACAGAAATAGTATCAGTTATAAAAACGCATTACAATAAAATTCTTGGTTTAATAATTACACAATTCAACAAACAATTATTGTACATTATACAGTTCCTGATTGTACAAGTTAATCCAGCAGTAACTAACAACAATTTAAAAAATTATTTCTCCATTGAAAATCGAGATTTCTTGACTTTAAAAGGTTGAAAGATACGTGATTCAGCTTTACTAAAAACTTCTGCACTATAACTAAGCAAAAACAATAAAAAATTATCTCGATTTTCAATAAATGGTAAATAAACTAAGGATGCTAGCGTTCTTATAGAATAATAACTATACCCGAAATGCATATAACACTGTTCAATGTTTGAAACATCCGCTTTTCTGTATAACAAGGCTATAACGGAAATATAGATAACTTGGAAAAACACCTAACTATTGTTGAAAACGTATTTTGAAAACTTTAAATAATCAGACCAAATGTGACATACTAAGAATTGAAGATACTACAACCGTTCTTCTGACGTCTTTTTACTTAGTAAAGGGGCGTCTTCACCACTTATCTGAGCTGATGAAGAAGGTGGTGAAGGGCGTACAATATTTATCATTATTGCTTCTTCGTCATCGATGGCTTCATCAGGTTTCTCATTCATAATGTCACTCGCGCCGGCGTCCCTATAACAAATTCTTTGAAGTAACAACTATTCACTGTCAAAAGTTCTGGGTCAAATGGTAAACCGGAGGTTTGTAGCAATGAAGCAGATACAGCACAAAAAAAAAAAAAAAAAAAAAAAAAAAAAAAAAAA